TCAGAGGCCACAGTGGAAAATCATTCAAAAGTGACCAGGGCTTCATCTGGCTCAACTTGGCCTTGGCAGCTCAGGATGGCCACTTTCTCCCTGAGTATCACTTGCCTTCTGCTCCCTGAGCCAGAGCAGCTGGGCATCCTTATCACAGTGTCCCCTCACTTTACAGACAGCACACCCACACCAACCCTAACATATTCCATTCCCCAGGGCCCTCCAAGAAGATAAGCTATTATCAGTCTGTGTGTCTGCTTCCAGGGATATTCTCCTCTGTGTGTGCATGTATGAACAGCCCTTTATTTCAAAAGAGCAGTAGCAGCCTGTATGTGCTGGTCTTGTTTGCCAAAGTAATACAGTTAAATAGATTAAAAATGCAAATAGTACTGTGAGGCTTACAATCAAAGTTACTAATGCTCCGTATCCCACACCACCTCTCTAACCCTACTCTCCAGAGGCAGCAGTTTCCAAGTGTTTTGCTGTTTCACTTGGTTTTTGCTTAACATTTATATGGTACTTCTAAATGCTGTGCTAATACTGCCTTTTGCTGTTGTTTTCACTATAGATATTATCTTGTGACCTCTTCCTAGAAAAAAAGAGGATTTCTCTATATATACTTCTTTTCGTTTCCCCAACCTCAAAAAAAAAAATAATTTTCCTGAATGAATATTCAGTATTTATAATAATGTTATATATTATATAGGCATTATTCAAACATTGTTTAAGCTGAGTTCCCTAGTGCAACATGATTACATCTTCTTTCTTGCAAGGCTTTTTGTTTTTCCCAGAGTTAATAATCACTTTTGTTTTTTTGCTTTAGTTTTTGTGTGCCTATCTTTATTTCATCCCCAAACTTTCTGCAGAACTAAGTACCTCTCAATATGGTATCTAGATAGATTCATTTTATCTCCTTAGAGACACCACTCCTAGAACCCCTGACTCCTTAATTCTAATCTGAACTGATTGCCTTACGAGCCGATTGTCCTGCTGTCATCCTTCAGCTTCCCTTCACTACTTCCTTGTAATTTGTTTTGCCTCTAGTTTGAAAGCCTTTGTTTCCCTGATCCTGGGTCTTCTTTTTTCTTGGTTTACTCACTAGTTTTAATGAAGCACATCTCCCAAAAGTTTCCTAAGAAAAGGTCCATAAGAAATGATTTTTAAAATTTGCATGTCAAAAAGTATTATTATCCTGCCCTCACTCTTGATTAATGGTTTAGCTAGAACTTATTTCTAGATTGAAATTTTTTCGTTAGAATTTTGAATGTGTTTAGCCACTGTCTTCCAACGTAAGTTCAACGCTATTCTGATTCCTGAATCTCTGTAGTCTGTTTTGCTCTCTATGGAAGCACTCAGGATCTTCTCATCATCTCAGGCAGTCTGAAATGTCGTGATGACATGACTTAGTGTATGTAGGCTGTGTTTTATTTTTTCCTCAAATACCTGGTGTCCCTTAGCTTTCGATTTATACTTACAGGGAGACTCTAAGATGCTGACCAGAAGCTCACCCTGCTCTTCATCATGCTGGTGGCCCTGAGTCAGGGGCCTGTCTGGCTCCAGCTCTCCCCAGATTGTTAGCTCCTGTCTTGTGCTGGGGCAGGGCAGCCAAGTGGATTGCAGAGGGAGAGAGAAGGAATCACATAAGACTTTCAGTCCACCTTTCTGTTTTCACCTGATCCTGCATTCTGGAATTTGGAGGTTCCTGAGACTTTCTGGGTTCTCAATTCCATCATCCAACCCCTGCAGGCAAATTCTTTCAGCTTTCTGTTCAGCTAAGTCTGTGTCATGGGTCTATCTGCTTTGCACTTTTAAAATTTTTGTTGACCTCTCTCATTTGCTGTCATTGCTTGTGTTCTCTTTGTCCTTATGGGTTTCTTTCTTCTTCCGTTTTTTTTTTTTTTTTTAATTCCTTTACTCTCCTTTTAGTAGAGGAAACAGAGGTCAAAGAAAATGCTCTGTTCTCCATGTAACTGGAAGCCCCCTGAACTTTGCTTTCTTAACTTAATAATATACCTTGGAGATGGCTCTATATCAGATGGAAAGCTCTTCCCCTCCTCTCCAAGGGCAGTCTTCCCCGGATGGATGAATCAGCAATTACTTCACCTGTGTCCTCTTCATGCAAGTGGAATGGCTGGGTCAAGGTGTACTTCTCATTTTTAACTGGGACATTTCAGCATCTCCTGCCTTCACTGGTCTTCTTCCATTCTTCAAAGCTCTTGACAGCTATTCCACATTCTCAGCTGCTCCCCAGGTTGTGGTCTCCTGAGTATGGAGACTCCCCTTGGTTTAAAGCAGCAGAGAGCTCTCACTGGTATCACCTTCCCATTTGAGCATTTCTGCGCTGCTGCCCCTGGCCTAACCAGTGCTTCTCACTCTGTCTTATTTGAAGGTGTCCAAGTAACAGGAGCTGGACACTTTGCCGTCCACTCTGACTTCCTTATGCAATGGTATCCCCAACCTTACCACACCCCCAGCGCTGACCCACACTGGCCTTCGAGAGTGGGAGCCTCCTGAGCAGGAGCTACCCCGGGGGCAGGCACAGGCCCCTCATGCTCAGGAGTGGTGCTGTCAAGAGAAGGGGCAGGCCAGAAAGAGCTTTGAGAACTGCTTGTTAGAGAAGTTTGCACTGAACCATGAACCGTGAACTGTGAACTGGAGCCTTCCCTGGCAGCACTCACCGGGACCCCCCTCCCCAGCAAAACACAGAGCCAAACTGTGCTCTTCTCAGGGGAAAGGCACCTTCCATGGGGATGGAAACAGACTGGAAACAGGATCTGGGAGGAGGTCATCTCAGGGCCTGGGTGGGAGTTTCAGAAGGGAGGCGTCCCTGAGCATGGCTCGCTTCCAAGGAAATCTTTCTCTGAAGGCCAATGCAGAACAAATGAAAATGGAGGATTGATGTTCAAGAAAGAGCCTGAACTCCTCCCATCCTCCTCTCGCTCCTCTCATCTGCCACCACATGCTCCTTCCTGGCATATAGGAGGAGCCCCAGGGGTGGATCCATGAATGCCATTTGAAGCCCCTGGGGTGGAAAGAGGGACAGGTATGGCCATTGCTGAGAGTATAAACTGGTGCAACTCCTTTGAAGGACAACATTGTCATACCTATCGAAGTTCTAAAATGTAGGTGGGGTGCAGTGGCTCACCCCTGTAATCCCAGCACTTTGGGAGGCTGAGGTGGGAGGATCACTGGAGGTCAGGAGTTCGAGACCAGCATGGCCAACATGGAGAAACCTCATCTCTACAGAAATAACAAAAAGTGGCCGAGCGTGGTGGCAGGCAACTGTAGTCCCAGCTACTCAGGAAGCTGAGGCAAGATAATTACTTAAACCAGGGAGGTGCAGACAGAGCAAGACTGTATCTCAAAAAAAAAAAAAAAAAAAAACAAAACCCACAAGCTTAAAAAAAAAAAAAAGATACAGAACAGTATGAATGGAATAAATGCAACAGTGTGAATGGGGTAAAAGGAGGATAAATGTGTCGGCCTATGTATGGAAAATTCTTCCGGAAGGCTAGATGGTAAGAAAAGCCAACAGTGAGCAGAGGCGGCCTTGAGGGAAAAGGATAGGGAGGAGAGAATGTAGACGTTTACTTTTCACTTAGAACTTTTACACTATCTGAATTTTCTTTTCTTTTCTTTTTTTTTAAATTATACTTTAAGTTCTGGGATACATGTGCAGAACATGCAGGTTTGTTACATAGGTATACACATTCCATGGTGGTTTGCTGCACCCATCAACCTGTCATCTACATTAGGTATTTCTCCTTATGCTATCCCTCCCCTAGATCCCCACCCCCCGACATGCCCCAGTGTGTGATGTTCCCCTTCCTGTGTCCATGTATTCTCATTGTTCAACTCCCACTTATGAGTGAGAACCATTATTTGAATTTTCTAGTCATGCTCGCAGATTTTTTTTTTTGGATTTCATTTTATATTTTTTCATGTGTTACTTTTCAGAAAATTTCAATAGAGGTTATATGGGTAGTAGGATATGGGTCATTTGGAGTTACGTCATTTTTTTTATATTTAAAAAAGTGAGTGAATATTATTTTCAAAAGGGAAATTATGTCACCGGGTGACAGCCTTTGGTTTCTGTAGCTCCCCGAGCCCTGGCCATCCCCCATCCTCGTTTGTGCCTGGAGAGTCTTGCGCTTGTGACAAAGTCGTTAGCTGCCACCCCCAGACCCTGAGTGGGAAATGTGGCTTCCATGTGGTGACGGGGGAGGGTTAGTCCGAGCGGAGATGATGAGAGGGAACCTTCCCCCACCTTCCCCCGAAAGTGTCTTGGTGAGCTCCTTTATTCATCTAATAGGTTTTGTTGGGCACCTGGCTCGGCCCAAACACACACACACACACACACACACACACACACACACACACACACACCCCTCTCACACTGTTCACTCTCCCCACAGCCCCACGAGAAGGGTATTTGGCCACCTCCACGTTGAATGAAGGTTCTTCCCAACTGGACAGGGGTCTGCATGACAACAGGGAGCAGGGCTGCTCACCATCCCACCTTCAGGGCCTCCAGGGGCAGGCACATCACAGGCACTGGAGAGAGGGCAGGGAGGGAGGAAGAGGGGGAGGGAGGGAAAGCAGGAAGGGGAGGGAAGGGAAGGAAGGCTGGGCTTCAGTCATGCATCCAAGTTTACCCAGCCAGGGAACAACCAAAATGGACTTCAGACCTAACTTCCCCCCGTCCTTTCCTTGTTTTCCTCCTTATTCCAAAGAGGTTCTGTCCAGCTCCATGATCCTCTGAAGAAACCTCACCTTGGATCCCAGTAAAGGGTTAGCAGCCTAAAGCCTGATATCTCATTCAGCTCCAGTGGGGCTCTGTGGATCATGGCCCTCCCATCCCTGCCGGCCCTGTCCCAGCCCCATCTCCAGGACTGTGTGGCTCTGAGCAGGGACCACACTCAGGGACCAGAGTGAGGCTGTATTAGGGCAAGAATCCAGTTCAGAGGGAGGAGCTGGGAGAAGGAAAGAGGGGAGGGGCCTCTACTCACCACAGAATTTCATTTCTGGTCAGGAAGGTCAGGGCCTGCAATAAATCACAGAGAAGTGATGCGTCCACTCCATTCATCCCTGCTGTGGCCCCTGGAGAGTGGCGCAATGCAGAGGCTGGGGATGAAATGCCCATTCTTTTTCTGCACGGCTAGGGGAGCCCCAGGCTGAGGCGGATGCCTGAGGTGGCAGCTGGAGAGGAAATGGTGCTCTTTCTTATCCCCAGTCTCTTACAGGCCTGGGAAGGAGGGCATTGGCACAGATGTGAGAGGAGATCAGAGACAAGAGTGAAACTCTGGGCTCTGGAGCAGGAGACAGATGGAGGAAGGCGACCTCAGAGAACTCATCTGGGCCACATGGATGCAGATTTAGCAAAGACAGGGACCACCGCTACCCTGCCTGGTAAACTCTAGAGCAAGCTTGTCCAACCCTCGGCCTGCAGGCCACATGCAGCCCAGGACAGCTTTGAATGGGGGCCCAACACATATTCGTAAACTTTCTTAAAACATTATCAGAATTTTTCGTGATTTTTTTTTTAGCTCATCAGCAAGCATTAGTGTTAGTGTATTTTATGTGTGGCTCAAGACAATTCTTCTTCTTCCAGTGTGGTCCAGGGAAGCCAAAAGGTTGGACACCCCTGCTAGAGCTTCAGGAAGGAATTTCCCATTCATTCCACTTGCTTTAGGAAGCTCCCACCTCTGCCCAGAATCCCCAGCCCGATCTACCCACCTGGTACTCTTCCAGGTCCTCCCAGTGCATCTGGTACCTTAAGCATTGCCCCATGCCAACCACACCTTTCTCTTTGCCAGCAGTAGAACCTCAGCCCCAAGGACTCGCCAGCTGGGGCACCTCGTTGATCCGGTTGCCGTGGTGACCTACATTCCACCTTCTGCCCATTCCACCTGAGTCACTGAGTTGGCAAAGAAACAAATTCTTTTCATTCCCATTCCACCTGAGTTGCTGAGTTAGCAAATAAGCAAATTCTTTTCAATCCCAAAGCTAAGAGACATCAGTCCCCATACAACAAGCAGAAAGGCAGCCCAAAGACAGGGCTGAGAGTCACACTGTCAGCTCAGGAGTCACACTGCCTGGGCTCCAAACCCAGATCTGCCCCACTGTGACCTGGGACAAGCTCTTCAATATCTGTGTATCTTAGTTTCCTCATCTGTAAGCTGGGATGATAGTCATGGGATTGTTGTGAGGATTGACTAATACAGGGCATAATGCCTGGCACATAGTAAGTGCTCAATAAATGCTAGCTATTTGAACCACAGCCTAGCTGGGCATGGTGGCTCACGCCTCTAATCCCAACACTTTGGGAGGCCAATGCTGGTGGATCACTTGAGGTAAGGCGTTTGCTACCAGCCTGGCCAATATGCAGAAACCCCGTCTCTACCAAAAAATATAAAAATTAGCTGGCGTGGTGACATGCACCTGTAGTCTCAGCCACTCCAGAGGCTACGGTGGGAGAATCGCTTGAACCTGGGAGGTAGAGGTTGCAGAGAGCCAAGATCACACCACTGCACTCCAGCCTGGGACCCTATCTCAAAAAAAAAAAGAAAAGAAAAAACCCTACAACCTGCCAGGTGCAGAGGTGCACACCAGCAAACCTGTAGTCCCAGCTACTCAGGAGGCTGAGGCAGGAGGATTGTTTGAGCCCAGGAGTTCATGGCTGCAGTAAGCGATGATCATACCACTGCACTTCAGCCTGGGTGACAGAGCAAGACCTTGTCTCTAATAAATCAAAATAAAAAACAATCAAGGAACCACAACCCCAGGACTGTGCCACGCATGGGGATGCAGAAATAAATCAGCATAGATCCAGCCTCAGGAAGTGGCCCAAAAAGTATAGAAAAGGGCATTCCACCCCATCAGTCAGGTCTCTGCAGGAACAAAGGGCACCATCAAATCAGGATCATGTGAAAAGGGTCTAACAAAAGGACTCTCCACAAAGGTGTGTTCAGGGTGTTGTAGGGAAATCACACTGATAACACAGACTCCCAAGCCCAACAAAGAGCTGCTACCCGCCCTAGCACCACCCACCTGGGAGCAACACCCCAGCCCCACTCTCTCCTCTTTCTCTGATCTCCCACAGGACAGAGAGCAGGGCAGAGCAGGATGGACAGACAGAGACAATGTCCAACACAGCCATCAACATCACAGGCCATGAGAGCCTTCCAGAAGCCATCTCTCCCTCCCCTGCCTCCAGGAGGGTCTGCACACCCACCTTTGTCATGAAGGGCTGGTCTCCTTGTTCTAGGACACGTCTTCCCTATGCTCTCCTGAATAAACATCCCAGTGGTTCTCTGATGAAGCTTATTTATATCTCTGAAGTGCAACTGCCTGCTTTTTCTTTGACTGTCCTCCATGGGGATAGAGCCTGGCAGAAGGAAACCCAGGACCCCCATTCCTTGATCTGCTCACCAGACACAAGTAGAATATCCACGGTGTGCCAGGGACTTGGCTTGACCCTGGGGGAGAGAGGACTGAACATGACTTCAACCCTCAAGGAACATATGCTCTTCATGCTCTTTTAAGGGAGCAAGAAAAAATGTATGCTCACCACGGGCGCGCGCGCGCGCACACACACACACACACACACACACACAAAAGCAGATGGAGGCAGATGTCACAGACGGAGAAGAGTACAGAGTTACGAGTGTTTAGAAGAGGAAAGTCTTGCTGGGCACCAAGCTTTCGTGTAGGTGGTGGCATTTAAGTCGTTGTTATCATACAGTGGTTAAAAACATGGGCTCTGAAATCTGAAAGACCTGGCGGCATCACTTCTTACTGCATCACCTCAAGCAAGTCATAAAATACTATAAGCCTCAGTTTCCTCATTTGTAAAAGGGGAATGATAAATCCCTACTTCATAAGTATTGCAGACATAAAATAAAATTATGGGTGTATGTGAAGCTCTTATTATAGCAAGATACCTGCTATGTATTGAGTTCTCAATAAAGGGTAAATTACCAGCCTGGTTAACATGGCGAAATCCTGTGTCTACTAAGAATACAAAATTGAGCCAGGTGTGGTGGCGTGTGTCTGCAGTCTCAGCTACTCGGGAGGTTGAGTATGAAAATCGCTTGAACCCAGGAGGCGGAGGTTGCAGTGAGCCAAGATCGTGCCTCTATACTCCAGCCTGGGTGACAGAGCAAGACCCTGTCTCAAAACGAACAAAAACAAGGGTAAATTATGTTACTATTTTAAAAGTTGGGCCTGGTCCAGGCACAGTGGCTCACGTCTGTAATCCCAGCACTTTTGGAGGCCGAGGCAGGCGGATCACCTGAGGTCAAGAGTTTGAGACCAGATTGATCAATATGATGAAGCCCTGTCTCTACTAAAAATACAAAAATTCGCTGGGCATGATGGCATGCACCTGTAATCCCAGCTACTTGGGAGGCCAAGACAGGAGAATCGCTTGAACCCAGGAGGTGGAGGTTGCAGTGAGCCAAGATCACGCCATTGCACTCCTGTCTGGGCAACAAGAGTGAAATTCCATCTCAAAAAAAAAAAAAAGAGTTGGGCCTGGAAGGAAGGGTAGGACTTTTGCAGGCTGAGTCAGTGGTTAAACTCCATTTTCTGCTAACCGCTTTGAGCTTCTACCACCGTTGACTAAGCAGCTTCTATTTGCCAGGTGTGTCCATGTAAACTGTCTGCCTTCAGGCTCAAGCAGCTCAGTGAGGGTAGTAGGGTATCCTTGCTTCTTTGCTCTAGGGAAGGTGGAGGCCGGTGAGGTGAAGTGATACTCTTGAGTCAGTCAGCTGGTAAGTGGGCATGCTGCAGGCCTGCGGATTCCCAAAGCACCGGGCAGGATACTCGGGGAAGCCAGGTGATCTGCACTTCCTTCTCCAGCCTCAGTGCTCCTCATCACATCGAGGCGCAAGTGGCAGCTTGGCACTGGCTGCTTGTGACTTTCACACCTGGCTGACACTTGGTAAAAAGAAAACAAAAACAAAAGAGAGAGCTGTCCTGGAGCCCAGAACTTTAAGCTACTGACTCAACCACTATTCATTGAGTGAGGCAGTGGAGACAGAGGTGAATGAGACAGATGATGTCCTGCCCTCATGGATCCAGACGTGCATATGTGCACCCACATCCTTTAGACAGCCATACGTACTATGGAAGAAGGAAAGCAGGGAACAGGGGAGAGAGGGTGTGACAATGGAGGGGCTGGTGGTCATGGAACACCAGAGCAGAGACCGGAGTGACAGGGAGGAGTAAACCAGGCTAGGAAGTCAGGGCCAGTTGCACAGGCCCATATGGCCATGGGTCCAGCAAGAATTTAATAACACTGGTTTCATTATATTTGTTTGTATAACGGTATCTTCCATATTGAAAATGAGGCACTTTTACCATTTATTACTGTGATCTAAAATTTCCTTTATAAACATATCTGTTTAATTAAAATAAACAGGAACCTAAGCAAAAATATTAAGTAAATAATTATATAGGTGGTAAAGAAATATGCCAGAAATCACAAATCTCTCTGTGTGTGTCTCTTTCTCTCTCTCTCAATCTCTCTCTCTCTCTCTCTCACACACACACAACCAAGGTTTGCAAACTCTGCTACCCTTCTCTCTCCTTGATCTTTCATCCCCCTAACTCCCCAACCCCTGCCTACCCTGCACCCCCGCAAGCTTTGTCATTTCATCACAGAGAGGGTTTTCACTGGTTCTTACAATAACAATACTAACAATAAGAATATCACTTTACATTTGCATATTCCTTTATAATTTCAAAATGCTTTTCTATGTACCATCTCATTTGCCCCGGAAATAAAAGCTAGTGTTCTTTAAAAAAGAGAGAGAAATCCTCCCTCCATATGATTCTGCCTTTGATACACTAACCAACCTGCCTCTCTACCCATCCCCAGCCCACGACATCCCTCAAACTCCTCTTCAGCAGAGATTTTGAAAGGGGTGTAATTGAGGAGGGAGGAGGCTCTGGGGAAGGACAGTTCTACATCCTTCCCCCCCAGGGTCCACCCCTGCAGGAACCCTCTGTGTGGAACAGAATGTTTTCTTTGCAAGATTTCTGTCACCTTGCAACTTACAGTTTTACAGACGGTAAAACTACAACCCCTGCTCTGACCCTGATTTAGGTGTCTCTTAGAATTCAAGAAGAGTTGAAAAGAAACTTGCATTCAAAATATATAAAGAAATGTTACAATTCAACAATAAAAGGCCAAATAAGCCAACTTAAAAATGGGCAAAAGATTTGAATAGACATGTAAGAAGATACATGAATGGCTGATGAGCAAAAAAAAAGAAGCTCAACATCAGTAGCCATCAGGGAGACGCAGATCAAAAGCACAGTGAGATACCTCTTCATACCCACCAGCGTGGTCAAAATCAAAAGAACAAGTAATAAGCACCAGGTATGGTGGCTCACGTCTGTAATCCTAGTACTTTGGGAGGCTGAGGTGGGCAGATCACTTGAACCCAGGAGTTCAAGACCAGCCTGGGCAACATAGTGAAACCCCGTCTCTACAAAAAATGCAAAGATTACCCTGGCATGGTGGCATGCATCTGTAGCTGCAGCTGTTCAGGAGGCTGAGGTGGTAGGATTGCTTGAGCCCGGGAGGGAAAGGTTGCAGTGAGCTGAGATTGTGCCACTGCACTCCAGCCTGGGCAACAGAGCAAGACCTTGTCTCAAAACAACAACAACAATGGAAAAAAAAAAACCCAACTAATAAGTGTTGATGAAGATATAGAGGAATTGAAACCCTCATACATTGCTGCCGAGAATGTTAAATGGTGTGACCGCATTGGGAAAGAATTTGGTAGCTCCTTGCAGTTTTAAGCAGTTGCTGTAGGACCCAGCAACTCCACGCC